TTTAAAAAAAATAACACAGCAAAATCAAAACAATCAAATTAGTCTCGCACAAAGTTATTCAACTGTGAAAAAAATATTCTTACCCTGTTGTCTCCACTACTATTTCCAGGCGTTGGCAAATCCACGTTCGATTCCGTGTATGTACAGTTACTCTAAAAAAAATGTTCTCTTGTTAGTAAGAATTAAATTAACTCGGTAAAAAATTAAATAAAATAAAAATAAGATATAAAAAGCTCGATTTTTTGCTTTAAGAATGCTAACCTCAAAATCTGCTGTCGTCAACTCCAAAAGACGATTTAGTGCTAACCCAGTGGATGAATCCGGGATCCTATTCGAGTCCATAAAACTTTCCCATTCTGACAAAGAGTTGATTGCACCAAATTCTTGATCCATGTTAAAGTTGAAATAGGTTGGGCAATCACTACTCCACCCTCTTAATAGGCTGTACATTTGCATTGACGCAAAACACCTGTACAAACATCTCACACCCAATATTTGTACACTTTTTTGCCGAGTCACGCTGTTTTGATTGTTTAATTCCCGCCATTTTACACAAAAGCTATCAACATGATAATTTCTGAAGACTCGTCCCGTCATTTCGATAATCTATGAAAATAATACGGCATTGACGTCATTTCCTGTAAGTTCGGGAGCAATCAGAACTTACATATCAGTTCAGGCGCAATGCAAATGAGTTCAGGCGCAATGCAAATGAGTTCAGGCGCAATGCAAATTAGTTCAGCCACCATCTTGATGTCACTTCCGACTTATCAAATGGACCAATCAGGACCGCGAACGGTTCAGGCGCATTTCAGGCGCAAAAACCGGGGTAATTATCGACCTATAACACTACTGGTGGAGGACAAAACATTAAAAAATTTTATTTCAATTTTTTCTGTTCAGCAGCATTCGCATGAGCCTGCATGTTCCGCACTAAGTTAAGATGGCATGTTCTGGACCGTTCGTACTAGTTCACGATTGCACCACTGCTAGACCTTATTCTTAGTTTTAAGGTAACTGTGTTTCCAGTCCTATTCATGCCACTTGTCATGAGGGCATTTTTATCCATAAAAATGATTGTCGTGTTTGCGGTTGCCGACTTGAGAAGATACCTTGAGAAGATACTGTGAACACCCGCTGTACAAGAGTCTTGTTTTGTAGGAATGCTTTTATTTTTTGTTTTTCTTTTCTGTTTTCCTCTGTGTTTATTTTCGGAAGCGATTGGAGTTTGTAGTTTAGCTGTGAGCAAATAATTACCGCACTTTTCCTGTACTGCAATCACTTTTCCTGTACTGCAATCACTTTTCCCCGTTCTCGTTCAATCTCTCTCATTCGGATAGTTTTTTCTTGATCAATAATTTTTCCTGTTTCTTCTACTGCGCATTTCAAGGCAGCGTTACGAAACCGCGCAAAATTAGCTTTACTTCGAGTTTCYTTGAACTTGYTTCGTTGAAGCTGCCTGGCATCATGGCGCATCCTATCGTATTTAAGCCCTGTTCCGATAATAAAGTTATCATCCTCAAATTTTCGTATTCCTAGATTATTAATCATGGTTGATATTTCGCTTCCCAGTCTYGCTCGAATATCATCCCAAAAGATCAGCGCYATTATGTGGCTATCAATTTTCACTAACAATTAAAATCTCTTCGACTTAGTCGACGGAGTTCTTGTTGAATAAATTATCGTTGGTCGTAGTTTGTCAGAACTTTAGTCGTACCATCAATGACTCTGACTGGAACTGCCTGGTTTTAATTTGCTGCAGGGGCATTTCATGTTTCTATCTTTATCTTGGTTTGTKTATAGATGAAAAATGCTCTGTGATCAAAATCTTTACGGCTTCAGATTCAGCAGAAAAGCTATCATTCGTCAAATACCGTTCCCTTTCGTTTTTACGATTTTTTTCATTTACCTGTCACTACCAAATGTGCAGTCACTCAGCCCCGGTATCCCTTCAACACAGACCAACAGCAAACAGCTTGAAAACCAAATGTTTGGTTCGAAGCAACATAGAATTATCCCAAAGCAAATCAAACATAAGAAACCAATTCTTGTTTTTCTCGTAACTGTGACCATAGTGAGGTGTTTGTGGTATATATCGAGGACTGTAACCATGGTGACAAGAGTTGTTATATACACAACCTCATCATGAAATAATATATCAGGAATGGTGGGCTTTAACCGCATTATTATGACGCTGGTGTGAACGTATTCTTTCTAAGGAAAGGTACGTTTATCTATTGGAGCAGTGTTGAGGGATTCGAATTAAATTGTTTTTGAAATAGTTGTAGCCCTCCCATTTTCACTCAGACATCCACATCAAAATAAAAAGGTTTGACCCTCCACAAAAGTTGAAATAATTACTGATAACTCTCCCCTCTGAAGCCCCACCCCTCCCCCCTCCCAAAAAAAGACCTTTCCTAAATGGATCGACATTTAATCTTTTTGAATTTTTCTGCTTTTTACCCTTTAATTTCTATCTGTTATTATTATTTAGTATTCATCTGTTTTGATTCTTTTGCTCATCATTCCTTTTTACACTATATCTCAGTCTTCGTCGCCTTCTTCACATTATTCAGGGCTTCCCGGCTAAAGTATTTAAACTATTAAACAGAACTTGAAATAGCTAGTGCAAATTAAACTCCTTTGTCTTTCTTAATGGCTCGGACGGAGCTATTTTGCACTACAGTTAGTATTTGATTATAATAAGGGTTTCTTTTTTTGCTCATAATTATTTTTTTCTTGCTATATATTTAATTCACAAGACACAACAGAACAGTCGATTTCTTGGGAATAAGCAATTCCTTGTTTGAGTTATATAGTCAAATTCTCTTTAATACTTTTTGAAGTAAAACTGATTGAATGGAAAAGTTTTATGGTCAAGATAAACAAAACACAAGCATTTTTATGATTTCTTTTCGTTTTTCATCATTTATTTCATGCACCACTCGACCATTCAATCAGTTCTTATTCTTGATGAGAAGTCATATATATAGCTTACCAAAACCCACTTACCCTTCCCCTGACATTCTGTGCACCTGTTATGTACTGTGATATCAATGGCATGTCACATACACAGCATACCAAAACCAACTTACCCTTCCCCTGACATTCTGTGCACCTGTTGTATACTGTGATATCAATTGTATGTCACATATACAGCATACCAAAACACACTTACCCTTCCCCTGACATTCTGTGCACCTGTTACCACAAACCAAGGATTACACAGCAAACCGCAAAAACAAGCATTCAAACATCTCATCACTATTCAGCYAATTAAATAAAGTGGAAGAAATCATAACAATTTTCAACAATTTTGATAACAACTATTTTCCCGTGTGGTTAACAGATCAACAATGTCGTCAATACAGATTAGTGGCTTCCTCCCTCGGTTTTATACAGATTTTTATCTGAGTGAGAAGGTTTATCTATTGTTTGGACGCCAGTCCGCAACAGTCTGACAACGGCGTTAGTTTCCCCTGCGAGATTTATATCTCGTTGAGCTTAGTCGTGTGTGCAGTGCTTTACATTATTATGAAGGCGCTATGAAAGTTCAACTGGTATTATTAGTGGAGGTAGGTTTTTTAAATTTAAAAGCTATTTAAATATTGAGTTTTATAGAATATATTCTGTTACACAAGTTTGCAGCATTTGAATCTGAACTATAGCATTTTCCTCTTTTCACAGCCTGAGAAAACGCTGATGAAAAGTCAACACCACAAGACTTGAAAACTACAGACAGTGCTTCCCCTTTCTGCTGGTTAGTTCTGCTGGTTTAGTTAATAAAAGAGCTGGATCTTAGATAATGATGTCCATTTATGAGCTCTGGTCTATATTGGCTCTTGCCAGCCTGGTCAGTAAAATTAATTATTATATGGCAAGGTAATTTCACGCGCTATGATTGGTCAATTTGTGGTCCATAGCTTACGGTACGGACCTCGCACTCTGTTAATAAGAGCTATTTATTATATGGCAAGGTAATTTCACGCGCTATGATTGGTCAATTTGCGGTCCATAACTTACGGTACGGACCTCGCACTCGGTTAATAAGAGCTATTTA